TTGAATTAAATCATTCGCATCTCACTGGTCGTACTCTTTTGAAAGTTTTATACACAAAATCTTTTTTTTTATTTTTAGTTTTGCTCTTACTTCGTCCAGATTCTAGGACATTTCACCTGCCTAGAGATCTTGCAAGTGCATCAACACTCTTGTCACGCGGCTCGTCCATCATTAGTGCACATCGAGTTCATTCAGCCGATTCGCTACCGCTGCTCTCTCCACCGCTCGGCCGAGCAGTTTATGCAACCCAGGCGTGTTGACATGAGCGGCACGTTGCATACTCGCTGCTCCTTGGGCGTCTATTATTTCTTACGGGGCGGATGCAAGCCGCTTATTAGGCAAGCGAGCAAGTAGTGCCATTCATGTTTACAACCCTTCATTTTGCCCGGTGTATGCACCAGCCTGCGCCGCACGTAAATCGCCCCCAACGACGCCACTTGTCGCCAAATTGCGCCAACGCCTGACCTCCCTTCTCCATTGTAGGGAGCTTCACAGTTCCTGGAAAACTCTCTTACCTTGCCCGTCGCACAAAAGATTCACTCTATTGACAGGGAAACCAGAAATACGTTTTCATCGCATTCAATGATTAGTTTCGCATCATTGATAAGAAAATTCCAGAGTTCAAAGCGTTATATTTTTGATAATTTAAAGGGCTGAAGATAAAATACTTTAATCAATTTAATCATTTTAAAAAGTTTTTTTTTAATAAATATTGACAGTTGTGAAAATGAATATGGTAAAGTAAAATCATTTATTTAACAATTAAAAAAAAAAACAGTTAAAACAAATGTACTCGTGATTTTTTAACAAAATTCAAGACACTCGCGTTTCAGATCAATGAAAAAGCTGGAGGCGTTATTAGCGGGGATAATGCGATCACTGCATGCGCCCCCATCAATTAGATTAGGGGTCTCTAGCAGGAGCAAACAGGTCTGATGAAACACACTGACTGACATAATTGTGAACGAGCCGAGTGGTCGCGCAGACAAACAAATCGATGCCGATGGAGCCGAGATGATGCCCTCCCTTGTTTTCCGGGCAACCCACAAAGTGCTATTGATCCCTTGATCTCCTTTTATGGCTGTGATTCGCAAAGCATCCGACATTTATGCGCGCGTGTAAGTCAACAATATGCCCCAGAGGCCTTCGCTGGCCCGTCCAATTTATGGTGAGATGATCGTCAACCGCTCGCCCGATTCTTCCACCAACGGTTCACTTGTAAGCAAAAACAAATATGTTTTTTAATATTAAGAATGGTATGAAATATTATTGCTCCCAAACACTGTGTATAACTAAATACTTAAAATATTTAAAAAAAAATTATGCATAATTCTAAAATACTCATTTTACAAATCATCTATCATCTATAATAACTTTTTTAAATTTTAAAGCGTACCTACAATTTTATTTTTATTGTTTTTTATTATAACTATAAATTTAAAAGCATATTGTTTTACAATCATTTAATTAAATTTATAGTAAATTTCGGTAAATTTACTATTATTTGTTTTGAGTAAAGCAAATATAAAAATAAAATTCAGCAAGCTTGTTAACATATTTTACATTAAGGCTAAAAAACCACCATGAGGCAGCGTTACTTCCAAGTTATAGAGCAAACTTTGCCACTTTGGCGATTACAAACAGTCTGTGGAATATATTTGAGCTTGTGTACTATTATTGTAATCGATTTTCAAACGGAGCCAGCCGCTCACCACAAACACTTCCATCGAGAGAAACTTTTGCTCTGCCAAATGATTTTTCCGACCAAAAGATCGCGCAAGATTCGTCGGTTTGTATTCCGCCTTTATGAATTCGTTTTTCGCAAACTTTCTGTATTTATTTCAGCATCACTGTGCTCAATTAAATCAACTTTGTGGAGTCAGTGGGTCAGAAAATAAAACAATTACGCGCCCGCCACTCACAAGTCTCTTTGTACTTCTGTGTTCTGCCGCCGCCAACGGATGCAAAAGCCTGCAGCTTTTGAATAATTATTTAGAGCGCTGTCCTAATGGCCTAGTTTCGTCATTTTTAAGTATGATCCTTGTTGATTACCATGTGTCATAATAAAAGCCAGCAGAGGGACACACAATCAGCTAAACAAAACAAAAAACAATTAATAGGCATATCATTATGGATTAAGGTTTATTGTAAAACAATGGCAGGGGGGAACTGAATTATTTCCAAAGTCATTATTTTTCCCTTTAAAATTTTTTATGTTAAGTAAGTATTATTTCAGAAATTTACATAATTATTGTAAAAACATTTTATTGACACTAATAAATAATTTTCAACTAAAAATTGAAAATAAAACCAAGTCCGGACTTCATTGAAAACTCAGATTTTATATTTATGTTCCCAAGAATTTTTATGCCCGGCAAATCTTTGGATCCTCTCAAAAACAACGATTTTTTTTTAATGAAGTGAAATGTTTTGTACCAGAGCATCAATAATTTATTAATTTTTTCCATCATTTTTATTCAAAAAGGTATTTGATTTTTATTTGGTCAAAGTCCAGGCAGTCCAGCAAATTCCAAAGATTTAACCGCTGGTGCTTATTAAAACCGTTGAATAATTTAACAGCTATACATGGACATTTTTTTTAAATATTTCGTTTTAAAAAGAATTTCCTCGTTTTAAATTTTGATAATTTTTTCTTTGCAAATTTTTTAACTCGGTTGGCAAAATGTGTAATGTTAATTAAGGAGCATGTTTATTTTATTTTATTTCAAAATAATAACCTTAGAAAAATAAAGAAATAATTTTAAACTCAAAATTGAAATTTGAGATGATTTCAATAGAAATGACCGCGTGTATTTTAAAAAGTGAATTCTTCAAAAGCTCTAATGGGATTACCAAAAAACCGGAATTGACCTTAACAGATCTCGCATCAGCAGTCATATGAGGGCAGGTGAACAGTTATGATCCCATTTCAAAGGCGTCAAATGAACATGAGTGGCAATCAAAGCAACACCCTCGCTAAGCCTAGGGGGATCAGGCATTGTAGAACCACGCGCGATAAAATCAAAAGAGCGTCATCAAAATAACTTTCCAGAATTAGCGTATATTTCCAGCAAAATTCAAAACCGGTGTTGCATTTTCGCCTGCCCAGCCGTCGTTTGTTTGCCGAGCAGAGAGAAGGCAAGGCAAGGTGTTGATGAAAAGCATATATGCAGGTCAAACTCGTTGCGCGCGTGCTGCTGTTGACAAATTGTGCCTGTCATTGCCGTTAAGTGGCACCAGAGAGCAACCAACAAGCCGCGCCACCGCGACTCTACATATATTTTACTACCCGCTGCTTATTATAGTACCAGAGGCAATACATAACCAACAAGACAAAACGTATGAAAATTAACTTGAATATCCATTCTAATTTACAGTAAATATACCGGAATTGAACTTTTTGTTCAAAGATAAATTTCAAACTAAAGCTCTTCGATCGTGCTTTTGCCAGGAGGAAAACAATTGGGAGGAAAGTCAGTGGTCAAAACCACGGGGGATTAATTCAACTGTGGGAGAGAGAGTTGGCCTCGCTGGACACACCGGCAGAAAGAACGCACCCCAGATAATCTGTCATTGCAGTCAGATTAACACTATTAAGGTTTTACCTCGTCAGTCTCTCGTAAAGTCCGAGCTGAACTGCCCCTTGGAGATTGACGCACGAACTTGCTTCGCAACATGCCCCTGGACGCCCTTGGCCAAAAAAGTGGTGCCCGACAAAATCGGGGAAAGTTTGCTTGTTTATGTGTGGCAAACCCTGCTTAAATCCTTTGAAGGAGGCTGATGCGAGGAAAGAGCGCATTTTTATCAAAGAAAAAAGCCATAGGATAAAACAGGTAGCAATTGCCAATTTTAATTTTAATTGGAATTGATATTTTTTTAACTTAAAAATACATCTTCACTGGAAATGAAGTGTTCAAAGTGGAAAAATTTGCCATATCATTTATTATAAATTTTATCCTTATTATTTCTCGTATCTGTTAAAATAATCGTTCTCTTTTTCATGGTCCTTGAGGGGATGTTCGGATGTTTGAATGGCGGGAAGGTATTTTATTTGAGTGGCGAGCTTGAGAGCTAGTTCGTGCAAATTGGCGAGCAGTAAAAAATCCGGTTTGCGTTGACCTTGTTTACTGTCGCTCTGGCCGACGGAATCAAATATTTCATCTGCGGACACTCGGGCTAATTTGTTTTGATGGATCGTAGTTTTGCACATCAACATCATCGTTTCGCGTTTGATTTATGAACTGACCACCTCATTCCGAAAAAGAAACGCTAACGTCCGATTCGATTGCTCACTGCGATGTCAGCCGATTTTTGCAGCACACACGTTTGATTTATGCGTGGCCGCAAACTACAAATCGTGGCTGAACTATTATTTACACTGACTCTGAAGCCTATTGTGTGCGTCATGCCATGCAACCTTCAAAATGTACTTTTTTTATTACATCGGAATTTTTTATTTATTTATTCTCTGTTCATAAATATGTTTCAATTAAAATACGACATCAAATGTTTTATACTTCTTTTTAATTTTAAAGCTGTAGCGAAGATTCATTGAAAACTTAACATTTAAAATTGAAAAAAAAAAATTATTATTTGTATTGAAATTTTTTGGTCAAGCATGTGCATTTTTTTTAACTTGCAGTAGACAAACTCTAATCTCATTTTATTTGAGTAATGTTATTTATTTATTTTATTTATTTTAATTGTCATTTTGTGGTAGAATTTCACGATTGAGGGTTGATTCATGATAATTTGAAATTCTGGTCGACTTTCCCTCACATGGGTTTTGCGAGTTGTTTATTGTTTAAGAAAAAACAATATCCTGCTCTACATGTTTCGGCTGCAGCCATAATTCATGAGCTGTGAAATCATTTTGACATGAATTTGTAGAAAAATCAATTATCATAATTTATTATTATTACTAATTGATACAATAATAATTGCCGTTAGCCATGCAATTATTAATTAATTACTAAGTGAATTTTATTGTTTGATTTCAGCAACGTCGTTCGAACTGGTCGCAAGTGGTGCTCAAGCGGGTGGTGCCGGCTCTCTCGGGACGCTACAGTTGCGAAGTGTCTGCCGACGCACCGTCCTTCCACACGGCGCTCGTCAGCGGCGACATGGACGTCGTTGGTAAATTGATCGTTTATTATCATTCGGCCTTATTAAATGGCATGTCAGGCCCCTGTTGAAATATGCGCCCGCGCCAAAGTTTATTTAGGACGCCAAATTAACTCTCGGCCGGCTCACTAACCGGCCGCCATTTTTGCCCCGTGCCACCCGAAACAGCTTTATTTGGTTTGCAACTCTGCGTTAATTAAGGCAAATAGCCGTCCTTGATATACTTCTCGAGGACCTGCCCCGTCTGGCTCGCAGGTCTCTGAGCAAAGACCCTTCTCAAACTGACCAGTCCTCGTTATTGCACGCTGTGTGTGTGTTTTGCTTGCCGGACGTTCTCGTGATTATGACGAACAGAAATGATTGCCTTTTGGGAGCAACTCCGCATCCATCCTTTGCCCTCTCGCGAGATGTTATTACAGCTCTTTGCTCCCCAAACTCCAGCTCCTCGGTTGATTTTCACGCCGGCCCCCAGTCCTAATGCCACTTTCAACAGAGTTCGCATCAGCTCAGTCAGTCAAAAAATTCTAAATGTCAAACAAGAACAATTATGTAGTTAATTAACTTTCCATTGGTGTATTTACTTTGCTCGGTAGTAATTTCAACTGCTTTGTACACAAGAGGTTTGATGTACAGAGAGATTTTTTTACTGATTAGTATATTTATTCCTCACAACCAATGTATTTCTCTATCTAAAATTGCGGCTTCCTATTATTTAATATTTTTTTTAATTCTATCACAAAAAAGTTGGGAATTTTCAGAGCGAAAAGAGAGGAAAACGGGTTTCACTGCGACAGCAAACAATTATTATATTTTGTTAAAAGCGACGCTTATTAGCTTTTTGTGCTTTCTATACAAAAAATTTATAATTCACTCTGTCGTGCTCAGCCAAGCGGTACGATTTGCGCTGTTTCGTCGCACTGGGCTAAAATTTTGCCTTTGTCCTGATGCCGGTTGTTGTGTGTTGGGCATGATGCAGAGGTTTTGAGAATTAGTCAATTATTGCTGTGCGGTGGCGGCTGCTGATCTTAATTACGTATTCAGTCCACATAAAGGGTCACATCTGATATGTAAATGTCCGGCGCGAGATTTCGCACTATATGCTCAATTATGGACGTGCACTGAATAATTGAAAGAGCGAGTCGCCTCTCCAGTGCTTGTTTTGTGTTGCTGTAGTTCACTGGCCCGTGCATAATTCATTGGCTGGCGGTGGATTTTTTCACTGAAGGCCAAAAGTCACAAAGCGCCGCAATTCAAAGGGCGAGGCTTTAGTGATTTTAACTCTGCTATTGAAAAAAATTATCCTAAATTGTCTTTTTTTACTTAAAAATTCGCTTTAACAAAAAGGTTATTTTATTAATAACTTTTTCAGTGGCTTTAAATTTTCTATTACGGAATAATATTGGGTGCTGCTGAACCAACTTCAACCAGGGCAAATACAAATAATAATTATTCCCAGCAAACAGCAGTGACCGCAGCCGAGCAAAAGTAATTCTCGCTCCACCGTTTGTGGCGAGTGAATTTCCATTTATGTATTCGAAGATGATATAAATAAATCACCAAGAGGAAGTAAAATGAATAACCATTCGCAGAAGCACAAACAGTGTGCGAGCGTCGAAAGCTGGGCTGTTCTATCTGTTAGTTTGTTCGAGACGAGTCAAAGTTTGTGCTCGGCAAATTAATACAGATTTGATTGCCGCACGTCCTTTGCTGCTCCTAACTCGCTTGGACGATATTCTTGGCACTGAATTATTGCATTTAATTCCTACTTGCTGCCGCAAACTTGCAGCTCACGTTTAATTGCCCCCATGTGCTCATTAACATGTTTGCACTGAATGCACTTTGTGCAGAGACAACCTTAGATTCAACATTGTTGCCAGCTGACTTCAGCAAAATGCAATCTTACAGCTCCACAACTTTCATATTTAGTAGCGTCAGATTGCAGTTTGAAAGCGAGAAAACGGACGCTCTACTTGCTCATCCAAGTGGACGAGGAAAAAATTTGATATTTGATGTTATGTCTTGAACTTTAATACAAGTAATTTTATGGTCAAAATATTTTTCTGCAATTGATCTAAAAAATTTAAATGTCAAACCATTTTTCTTCACTCCAAATTGTGGCAATGAGATTAATTAAGATTCATTTTTTCACTTCATTATAAAAATTTAAGAGCGATTTTGACAGAATTTATTAATACAAATAAATTGTGTTGTGCGATATGAAAGCTATTTTTTATTATTATTATTTTTTGTTTTTATAAAAAGATAATTTAAAATCGTTGTAGATATGCAACGTGAAATCACTCACCAAAACCGAATAAAAGAAGAGCTCATTTGGTTCAACTCATCAAAAAATCCTTTGATTTTTTTTCCATCCACAAATTCTTTGAATTCTCTGCAGAAGCAAATTTGTGGAAAATAATTAAACCGTGGTTCTTGGGTTGCCTACCATCCAATTCCAACATAACAGAAACCACCGAAAACATTTTCCATCGGCCTTATCACCTTCCACTTTGGAGCATGTTGAATATTAAATTTTTATAGCACAGCCGCCTCCGCCGACCAGCAGCAGCAACTTTCGGTTCTTTTCCCCCGGCTGCAATATTAGATTGTACAAAAAAATCTCACTCTCGCGCGCTCGGATTATTATTTGCTTGCAACTTTTTCTTTATGCTCTCGTCATTCAATATAAAGCGCAGCACCGACAGCGGCGCAACACAGCATTTAATACTGCACGAAACGAACACCTACCTACCTGCCTCTCATCTCCGGCCTTTATATCTGCACCGATATTAGACGCGCATGTTTGCACGCTTTGCCATTCCAAGCTAATATTGAGCTGGGCAAATATATGCATGTTCTCTATGTACACTTACACCCCGTTAAGCCGCCTGAAGAGTGGTGGAAAATATGTGGAGGCGAACTCGCAGGCGGAAAAAAAATAAAGTTTTAAGTTGGATTGCTTGTGATTTGTAATTTCCCTTTTTTTTAATAAATGAATTAAAAGTTTTAATACTTTTTTATCATAATTAGTTCCATTAATAATTTTTCAAGTAACACAATTTAAGTATAAATTAAATTTTTTTCGTAATCTTCTTTAACTTGGGCAGAATATAAAAGTTTTTATTTGGCGTTTGACTCGCAGACTGTTTAACTAAGGCATCGTGATGTAGAAAAGAAACGAGAAAAACGATTACTATATCAAAGCCTTTGAAGTTACAAGTGCGCTTTTCTTTCTCTCATTTCATGAGACCAGATCTGCCAATGACTGAGACCTTTGTTCCAGACCTGCCTCCTAAGCAGCCACAAATCACAAACGTCAAGTCGCGATATCGGCCGGGCGAAGTTTTGCACGGAAACTGCTCATCTCACAGTTCGAGGCCGGCGGCTAATCTCACCTGGATAATCAACGGTCACATGGTAAACCGGAATTCATTTAAAAAACCTTAAAGTAATCAATTTTAAATCTAAAATTCTTTTACAGTCATAATTTTTTTATTTACATGCAAAAAAACCTATATTCTTAATAACAATGTTGTCTTAGCAAAAAAATTTATGAAATAAATCGATAAAGGATAAAAAAAAAATCATATTATTAATGTTTATTTGTCCAAATTGTTACAGTCACATTGTCTACTTAATAAGCATAAAACCACTTTTATAAACATAAAAAAATTGATATTTTTTTCATCCTTTTGTTTTGCCCTTTTGAGAATTTCTTGGGCTAAACAATTTTTTAGACTTAAAGGACGGAGCAGAGCTTAAGTTGAGGCGGTGTGTGGTTTTGCAGGCGAAAAACAGCCAGCTGATAAGGTACCCCAAGATCAAAGAGCCGCACGACAAAGAGACGACGACTTTGGGTCTGCGATTTTTAGTCGAGCTGCGCCACTTCACGACGGGCCGCCTGAAAATCCGCTGCTCGGCCAGCATCGGCAACCTCTACTGGCAAAGCACCGAGAAGAGCATCGAGGAGGAAAAACCCAAGCCACCCCAACCGCCGGCCACCCCGAGTCCCGCCTACGGAAACGACGTCTTGGACTCGGATTTCAAAGACACGAACCGGCGGTGGCCCAACAGCGAGGTTTATCTGCCAGGTTCGGATTTATTCAAATTTTCTGCCCCCTCGTAATGAACTTTGCAAGGTGAATTTTCTCAGCCGATTTGGCGGCCGGAGCGCTATTTTACGACTTTTTGTTGCGCACACGTATTTCGATGGTTGTAAAATGGCGGTGGGCTTTTTATGAACGCACAGCCAGAAATTAAAGCGTACAAAATTGGCTGCTGCGCGCACAGTTTTATTATCAAGCATAAAATTGCGGTCAACTGCAGCTGCCCGTGAATTTTTAAACAAGGGTTGCCTTTGCATTTTCGGTTGGATTTACATCAACCACCAAGGCGGTCATGAACAGATATACTTTGATGAACCTTGAATGGAGATGGTTTTGAATATTTTTGTTACTAATATAGCGAATTCTATTATTTGGAAAAAATTACAGAATCAGGAGTTTATTAAGTTGCAATGAAATAAATTTATTTCCATTTGGTTTTACTCATGAAAAGTAAAGAAAAGTTAGATTAATAATTTTTAAATGAATCCAAATAAAGCTGAACAATTAAAATTTAAAAAAAAAAATGTAATTAAAACTCGGTATTTAATATTAAAAAACCACAATGGTTGATGGCACAAAACGGTGAAAGCTCGGAAGAGACAAAAGATTAAATAGAACGCCTACTGTTTACCGCGTATGCAACCCGCTGTACGGTGACGTTGACATAGCTGCATAACTTCGTATTTTTCACACAGCGACGGAAAAATAATTTATACAGTGCGATATATGGAAAAGAGAATAAATCCAATTTTGTTTTGCACTCATGCGAGGTTATTAAAAATTCTCAGCGTGCCACGATTAGTTGCATTTCATCTCGTGGAGGGCATTTATATTAAATTAATGCACAGCGAGGTATGATTGACATTTTAATGGACGTTTGTGTTGGAGAATTAATTTTGTGGATTCGCATACACTGGGGCGGCACAATATAATGAAAGTCGGCCGTCGGTTTGACCTGGAATTTGCGATTCTAGGAGGATCGGCACCGCCACAAACGAGAGACCAAGAGGGCACAGTCATGTGACCTGCCTTTGTCGAGACTTGTAGTATGTGTGCGTGTGGCCTGGAATAAAAGTGGCTGCATGAATTTTTAATGCTGTGCGGGCGGATTGTCTAACAAAAGCAGCACTCTTTGTGCACGCCGGCTTTCCAAACAGAAAGCAAATTTGGCGTTTTAAAATTTTCACTGTGACGCATCCTGCTTTTTTATGCTAGGCCTCATCAAACGGTCGATCTTCCTTTGAGCCGCAACACGCAGAGCAGAATGTTTATTTTTCGCTTCAAAATAAGGCAACAGAAGATCGATAAAAATTTGCTTTGACATTATATTTTAGCACATCCAAAAAAAAAAAACACTTGTAGGAGAGAAGTGAAAGTGACGTCAATTATACTGAATTTTTAATTAACAATAATAGCATTTTAAAAATTACGTGTTAAATTTCTCAATTAAAATTATAAACTCCTAGAATCGCACAAAAATCCTAATCAAACAAATAAATTTTGTTTTAATTATATTATTACATTTCACTTTCCTTAAAGTTTCAAAGTTCTGAGATTATTCAAAAAGTTTCCATGTTCATTAATTATTATTTTACTAGCTAATTTTTTAAGAAATTAGTATGTCGGGGGGGGGGGGGGGAAAGCTGTTGAAAATCAACAAATTTTGAAAGCATTTAAACTAATTAATTTTATCAATAAAGAGATAATTTGATTTATTTCTTATTTTTCAGAGGAGCATCAGCGGTCAGTGGACGAGACGATGGCCTCAAGCAAGGCCGTTGTCAGGGCAGTGGTGGCCACACCGATATGCTCGCTGCTATTCCTGTTGGCGAGCAGATGAATTTACCGCGAACGACAACAGAGTTAAAAAGCGTCAGTCGGCCGAGGCTCGTAAATCATCAAACGCGGTTGTTCTCCCTTCGATTCTCTCAACTCGATCTCCTCTACTCCAGTGCGGCACATCCCACAACAGTTTGTTCGTGTGCGCCCGCAACAACAGCTACATTCCCTGCAAACACTCCGTAATTGAAAACTCCCAGTTTATATGCTTTTTTTCCATTTTTTTAAATGAAGCCAACTTGCTTTAATCAATGTAAAAAGTAAAACATTTTTTTCCATTTTTTGTTTGAACATTTAATACGATATAGGCTGTATAGTTTCTTAATTATTGATACATCACATTTTTGAACGCTGCATTTCTATTGGTGCTCTTTTTTATTTCAATCAATTATTTTTTTATTGGGAAGTGGAGCACGCACGCATATAAACTCTGCACTCTCCCGTCAGGTAATTAATTAGCATTAATTAATTAAATGCAATACCGCTGAAAACCACAGGCGCCGCTGCTGTTGTAACTGATTTGCGCTCTGTTAATTCTGTGCACAGAAGATAAATTTAATGCAAAGCCGGATTGTGCCATTTTTCATCTCTCGAAAAAGCATTTTGATGAATTTGCGAATAAATCATTGATTAAAATAAATCAACACTATTTGGAGCAAAAAAAAACAAGCACAAAATAATTTTTATGAACACTTGGCTTGCACCGAGTGCGTCGAATTATTCAATAACCGTGGGACACGCCAAGGATAAAAACCTCTGGATGTAAAAATTTTCCATAAAAGAGAGAATTTAATGGACAACTTTGTAGGACTCGTGCAGAGAGTTAATAAGAAACATATAATATATAAAGAAAAAAGTGAATGTTAATAACTCTTTTTGAGAACATGTGATGACGTACTAATAAAAAAATATTCTCTCTTCACTGTGCTGATGCCGATATTGTGAAAGTGCGTGTGAATGGCCATTGTTTCTATTTTCACGAGCGGACAAAGGGGGGCGAATGATTGTTCGTTTTTACAATTGATGGACTCAAAAAGTGATTTAAACATTTGGAAAAAAGTGCAGTGATCTGAAAAAGTCTTCGGTGGTGAGAAACGCAAAAGAAGCAATTTGTATGAAGAGAGAACAGCACCTTGTAAGTTAAGATTGCTTAAATGGAACCTCACGCTATGACTCAATTGATGTCTGTGATATTAAAAATTGAAGATATGTGCCGGTGTAATTCTATTTGCCGTGGAATCATTAAATTAAATTCATCTAAAGCAACAGTGTTCAAATAATAATTGAATTTTTAAGAGTTATTTTAAAACTTGTTACTATTTTGTTACTTAATTTCAAGCTGAAAATATTTTATATCAATATAAAAAGACTTGATTTATATACCTGTATTTACGTCAACTCTTTGTGGTGCGTTTTAATTATAAATAAGCTTTCCATTACTTTTACCTCTTACATATTTTTTTTCTTGTCGCATTTATCTTTTTTTTATAATAAATAAGTTAAATAATATTTAAATATTTATTTCATATTTTAATATTTGATTTTTCGCTTCTCCAAAGTTTTTTTAAACAGAGTGCATGGCAAAGCGTGAAACTGCTAATAAAAGTGCGATGATATTAATTATTACGAGCAAAAACACATTGTAAATGAATGTTTTATTGAAACCAAGATTTAGTGTAATGTTAAGAGTACTCCATTCAATAAAAAGTAAAGAAGTTTTTATATTTTTAATTCTCTTCATCCTTAAATATAATATATGGAAATAAACTAATATATTTGTAACAATTTTTTAATATCTAATATGCAACAAAATATTATCCTCTTATAAAAAAATGTTAGAAAAAATTAAATACATTTTTATCTTAATTTTTAATGAATAGAACGCTTCAGAATAATTAAAATACTAGCGAAATAATTTACAATAATAATTCATTTCAAATAAACAAGCATACAAAAATACACACATGAAAAAAGGTCTTAAGAGGTTTTCTTACAATGGCAAATTGAAAGTAGCATACTTTGCTAATAGATGTCGTGGGCATGGGCATCATGATACAACGACCAAACCAGACCAAACCGACTTTACAAGAATGAAGAAGTTGCCAGATGCTGCTAGAACTGGCTATGGCAAAGCAACAAAATAATAACAAATCACTTTACTGCTTGGACACTCGGACAGACAACAGAAAAGAGGCAACAAAAAGTGAATATTTTATGTACCTATTATTAAATGACATACAAACCAAAGGCACTTTATTTACTTCATTAGGCTAATTAACCACAATTTCTGTTTTTACTTGGTAAACAAAAAATAAAATATTTAAGATATTATTACATTCAATATTCAACGTTCAATTGTGATATCAATAGTTCAATTCTAGGATTATATGTTTATTATTCCAATGCATTGCATTAACAAGAAACCAACGTGCCTCTTGCATGGAAATTTTAAAAGTATAAATTAAATCAATTATGCATAATTTATTTGCGTACACAATTATTTTATGTATTTTGTCAATCATCAAATTGTGAATGCACTATTATTATTATTAGCAATAACAATTTTTTATGTAATTTTGAATAATATAGCTAATTTAATGTAATTGCAGGATGTCCATGAAGAAGATTGAGAAGTGCGAAGAGTCGTCCGGTGGAGTTACCCCTGTCAAAAGCACCCCTTTGAAGTCTCACTTCTTAACGCCATGTCGTCGAATGGGTCTGAAAAGAAGCTCCGGCGTCAGCCCTCTTCTGCTTCAGAAAATGAGTCCTGCTCCGTCCCCGGCAAGTAACAGGTCACCCTGTGCCAAGCGGCAGCAGTTGGTCACCGTCGCAGGTTCGCCCTGCGCCGATTCGACTCCAAAGAGAAACGTCGCACCCCGTAGAAGAAGCAAGGGGCTGTGCGTGACAAGGGTGGAGAGGGTAGTGGTGAATCCTGTGGAAACTCCCAAGATTGAAGTAAAAACAATTTCCCATTTAACATTGGCCAATGTTTTGATTAATCTAAATTTTTTTAGGAAAGCAAATCGGAGGACAAAGCTCTCGAGGACATCACTCGCTCGATCTCCAGAAAGAAGGAGCAAATAGCCCATTTGCAGAAAGGGGTCCATCCTCTTCAATCTGAAATTGAAAGACTGCAGTCTCTGACCGAGACGTGGAGGGGAGGCTGCCGGAGGGCCCTCGAGGACCTGCTCAAGATTATGCACAGGAACTCCGAGGATGCGGCCAAAATGTTGACTATGTCAATACTCATTTCCAACCTGGACATTCCACCAGACCTGCTCAAATTTGACCCGGACAAAGACGAGTTTTACTGAATTGCGAATTATTCTCATCTAGATCGATCTCGTGATAAAAAAAAATGGCTGCAAGCTGCAATCCGTCAAAACTTATATCTGAATTCCTTAATTTGTACAGTGAGCAAAAGCTTTAAATAAATATTGAAAATATTTGTACAATAAAAACTAATTATTATTTAGAAAAAATGAAAGTAGTTGTATTGCTAGTTTTCAAAATAATTTTATTGTTCAATTTGCACGAGCCTCAATATAGATAAATTCTTCAGCTGTGGCAAAGCACCAATACACAATTTAGAATCAAAAGAATACAATTCAAGATAAGCAAAATATATATTCTCAAAAATTGAGCCTACATTTCAAAACCAATTATAAGATAATTTATAATTTATTTAACCAATGATCTCACAACAAGGTAACATTAACACTATATTAACATAAATCTGTACATGGCAGTCATTCCTTTTTGCTTTGGAACTTCTGCATAAAGTTTTCCTTCCGCTCACTAATGTTCTCCTTAAAGTTGTCTCTGCGCTCTTGGTACATCTCTTTGAGCTGCTCGCGGTTTGGCATCGGCTTGATGTAGCCCAACTTCTTGAGCTTGTTGATGGCAAAGGTGGTGCCTCCGACGGTGACGAAGTACCTGGCCGGGGTGGCCACCTTGTAAAGGGCGTACACAACGGCCAAGTGTCCGGTGCTGGAGTTGTTTTTGATGAACTCGAGGGCCTTGTCCGGCACGTGAAGCGTTTGCAGCAACGAAGGCACGTCGACGCCACTGCGGACGATGTAGTAAAAGCAGCCGACCCACACGGCCGACGTCGCGCAGTGCACCGGCAGCAGGACGTACCAGTACTCTTTGTACATCTGCTTGAACTTTTGAAACAGCGACAGCTTCTTCTCCTCGATGGGCTCATTTGTATTATTTTCTTTGGGCTGGTCGCTCGTCCCGAAGCCTCGGCTTTGGCATCCGATCAAATTTGGAACTTGTCCCAGATGAGTATTTTCTCGCCACCGGAATTGCTGGTTTTGGGTCTGAAAATTAGAGAGATGGGTCAGTGGAGTGGTCAGTCTGTTGGTGCGGAGGAGGCCGTGTTGTTGAACCAAGAGGGTTCGAATCAGCGGTCGACCCGCCGTCCTCGAGATGAGTTTTTGGGCCAGCATGGCCACTTCCTGCCGCCCCCGGTTTGGCTAAGTCCTGCGGTTGAGTGTCCGCATCGGTCTGCAACACAATGTCCGTCAGTCGCAGTTCGATTTGCGCCGAAATCTGCGGTCGAAACTGCTCGATTTAGGGGTCACGTCCGCCAGCCTACGAGTCCATGCTGTGAAAAGGGGGCGTGACCCTCCACCCGCCCACTTTTGCCAGCTGAAGGCTGAAGCAGTGAAAGGAAAACCGTGGGAAGACAGAAGTCCTGCAACATCAACCTCGTCTGGAAATTGAAATTTCTTACAAAATTCATTTAATTATTTGGCGGAGATGGGCAAAACGGCGAAGGTCGTCGTTTGCGGAGCCCGAGGCGTCGGAAAAACTGCAATATTGGAGCAGTTAATTCACGGACATGTCAACCTAAAAACGGTATAAAAAACCATTCCAAAAAGCTTTTGTTTATATGTTTATTTATAATTAGGTTCTTGTATAAAAGACTACAATGTGTATACATTTTTTATCTGATTATTGAAATGATTTGCAGGAATTTTACCCAACCATCGAGGACATTTATCCAGCGTCCGTCACTACAGACAAAGGATCGAAAGAGCTTGTTCGGTTTCTGGACACCGCTGGCCTCGGACTTGGCTATTCCTCCGAGCTTTCAAGGCACTATTTCGGCACCGCCGATGGCTACGTGATTATTTACGACCCGGACGAGACAGAGTCGTTCAACGTTGTCCTCAACATCAAGAAGGACATTGAAAAATACAGAGAGAAAAAAGAGGTACATTGATATGAAAATGCAGTGTGCTTTTTTCGACATCAAAATAAGCCATTTTTTATAAAGCATAGATTTTTTGATAATTTTTTAGTAATTTCATTATTTTTGCCTATGAAATTTGTAATTGTCTGAGAAAAAGCTTATTTAAAACAAATATAAGTATTTTCTTTAAATTTTTTAATTCGTTAATTTTTTTATTCTAATATTGGTATGATTGATCTAAAATTGAGCTTTATTTACAAATATTTTTTGGAGATAAGAAAACTAAATAAAACTTAATTCCAGGTTGCAGTCACTGTTCTTGCAAACCGGAGGAGAGGCGAGCGTGCCTACCCTGTGGATGGCGCACAGGCTGCGCAGTGGGCGTCCCGAGAGAAGGTGCGTCTTCACGAGGTGGACGCCATGGACCGATCGACGCTTTTCGAGCCGTTCACCCAGCTGGCAACAAGACTCAACCCTCCCCAGCAGAAAAGCGCCTTCTCTCAGCTTGGAATCTCCAGAAAGGTCAAGGAGACGGGGTAACGTGTTAAACATTTTCTCCCTTTTCGTGAGCAGTGATTAAAGAAAAAAAATTGAAACAGTGAATTAGAGTCTCCGTAACAGACATTCCTTCGGAAAATGGTGAATATATTTATTTTTATTTAAAAGTGTGATGGAATTAAAATCAGGCACCTATTTATTTACTTGAAAATCAAAAGAAAATTTTATTTGGCACAAAATCCTTTAAAAATAAACAATAAAATTAAGAAATTGTTCAGTCCGTTGCTGTTCTTTGAAAACTCGTATGTTGACTTGAGTATGAAAAAGAAAATACTGGTAACTATCAAAAGTATACCTGGCGCAGGCTCTTCACCATCTGATGGCCTTGGCCAACTTCTTGAGGACGATTTTGGTCCCAAAAACGGCATCCCACAAAGGACTAGTGATGCCGTAGCCTAAATTTTTGCAATTTTATTAAAATGTATAAATAATTCGCAAGAATTTTCTGCTTCCGTACCTGAGTCATGATGTGAAAAGTGGTGCTGGTTGTGATATCGTTTCATGAAGTACAAGTGGGAGGAGGGATCTGGCGCCCCAAAATGCAAGTAGTAGTGGAACAAGTCGTAGAATAAATAACCTGGCGATTAAATTATGATTGAAGAGGAAACGATCATGGAAGTGAGGAAAACAGGTTGAAAAAATTGTTTTTAAAACACATTTCTAAAAGCTATATTTTGAAACAAAAAATTACAAACAAGTAAAAAGCCTATTTTCCTCACTTGCAATGGAAGTTTGTAAATTCAGAAAGTTTTTTTTTTTTAATTAAATAGTAAAAGCTATAGCAACGGACCTAGGGTTATTCCTGCGGCGGTAGAATGCAAAATATTTGCTGGCAAGAGAGCGCTGAAAGTAAAATACAGGACGATTCCCAAGATAGAGGAACCGGCTGGAGGGAAAACCAAACGCGTCCCATCAAATGGAACCTAAATTTAATTTATATAATTTTTTAAAATACATTTTTTTTTTATAATTTTTTATATATTACTTTGTGATGAAGTCCGTGAATGACAAAATGGAATGTGATAAGTCGAGGGCTCTTGCTGGGAGGCTCCATGTGGAAGAGCCACCTGTGCAGGGAATACTCAAGTGCGGTCCACAGCAGCACGCCAAAAATTAATCCGAAAACTGTTGTGCCGTGCGAGAAACCTCCTGGTGAAGAAAAAATTAAAATTAGGCAATTTTAAATTTAAAAACCTGTTTCAATTGCCTGCGTAGTGGACTTTTAGGAAGAGAAAGAAAATGGGGATCCAGAAGATGGGAATGTAGTACCACTTGGCCATGGTCAGTTTTTCCAAAATCGGGTTGCCGAAAAGTATGAGCGGCTTGTCGACGGGCAGGTTGACCCACTTGGAGTAATTCGCCCCCAGGGAGGCCACTTGGTCCAGCATCGGTTTGCTCCAGTCGACTAGATGCTGCGCAAAGTTTAATTAAATTCGTTCCAAACGCGGTGTCAGAAAAGTTGTGTTACCTCTAGGTCGTCTATGCTTTCGGTGGATTGATGAATTTGTGCGCCATTACTGGCTCCGTTGTGGTTTTTATTTTCATCTGTGGCCTGATAAATTCGATAAAAATTATAACAAGAATTTCTATTCAGCGAAATGCACGGTGGCTATTGGAAAGTTATTGAAAGTGAGCCTTCTAATTATATCATTAAAAATGCCAAAAAATGCATCAGTGAAATTTCGGCTTAGGAGTTCACTTTTTGTTGAAAACTTTTTCCGTGCATTTAATTAATTTTATGAAAATAATTATATCAATCCTGGAAACCCCAGGACCATTCAATAGTTAACAAATTTAATATTTTATTTTGACCCAAATTTGATAAAAAAAAAAAAAACTTAATGTGTGGCACGCCACCTTCTTTTTTTATCTCCGCGAGAGTCTCAAAATGTATTATCAACTGAACAAACCTTGGGATCATCACCGACGCGGTATTGGTTCAAAAGATAAGTGGCCGAGAGCGAGTGAACCAGAGATGACTCACTTTCGCCAGCGTCGCGTACGCTCTTCAGCAAGTGAGATATGCTTTTCCCTCTGAAAAGTAAAAAAAAAAAAACAATGAAATGGTGTTTTAAAAATTACAAAATCAGCAACCAAATTTCAAATAGATTTATATTCAGAAATTTAATGGAAATTATAATGAGCGATCTTAAATTTCACTTTCAGTTTTCTGGAGAATAAAATCCGTCTCCTGTTCCCTTCCGAATGCAACCGACAAGCCCCTTGAAATGCTACACTGACTGGAATATTCAGTCATGTGACTCAAAACAACTCCAAAAGGGTCCGAATTAAATATGATCCTCTTTCGAAGATCACGTGTCTTAATATTTTAAGCGTTTGATATCTCATTTTGAACCCTCTCTCAGTAATTAACAGTTCTTTTAAATGGGCAAAAAACACTCTCGTTGTGTTTAGTTAGCTAAGTGAGCAGCCAGTCAATAAAAACTGCCCAGGTGTTTCATGCGAACGTGCATCATGATTTTTTCTCTCTCTCTGGAAGTGCAATTATTGACAATAGAGGTTGTCAATATAAGTGATTATCCTGTGTTCTTGCAATTGCGTTCGTCGCAACCACAAACTCTTCAGCAAATTCATGACAGGAAAATTACTCTGCCATCCATGCATATTTAATGAATATTGGCGACGTGGTTATCTAGCTGCGAAAACCTTCAAATTTGTTGCTCTCACATTGAAGATTGCATACTGAATGTTTAAAGTAATGAAAATTGCTGTTTATTTATTCAGTCCTTGAAAACTTGAAATTATACAAATGCGCATCACAATGAAACAAATAAATATTTAAAATTATTTGAAATTTCTGAATATGCTTAAGTTTGGTACCGGCCATTCTTTTACATTCATATCTGAAGAAAATTATAAAAAATTTCAAATAAACAGCTTTATATTAACTTTTATATTTTATTCTGGAAATTTCTTTTCCCCTTTTTTAGAACAATAAATTAGCTCATTGTTGATTATGTAAGAAGCAATCTTAAAAATTAACATAAATATAATATAAAAAAGAATTTATTAAAAAAAAAAGTATATTTTTTAATTAGAAGATGAATAGGAAATTAGAATTTTTGCAGGATGAGGAGTTTTCCTTTTTACCTGTAGGGTTCGACGTGAGCCAGTCCACCAGGGTGTTGGGCGAGAAAGGGCGCGATGTCGTAGACGCCGCCCTGGTGCGTGACCAGAAAGCGGTCATCAGGGTTGTGTTTGGCACCCCTGCCCATTGTGTAGAGAGCACCACGCGCACGCCGGCCGGTCCTCGGGCTGATCAAAGGGAGACTCACCTGGTCAAGGCGCGACACACACGGCAGTCCCCTCTTTCCGCGCTTATCACAACTGGAGCAGACAAATCACTCAACGACGCATGCGGTGACACTCGCCGCCGGAATCTGCCATCGAAACTTACGTCTTTCGATTGAGTCATAGTTTTGAGTTTCTCAATTGTGTTACGAGATTTTAATTAAGGAGTTTCTAATTTAATTGATAAAAAAAATTATAATTATATTTTCGGCGGGGGGAAAAAAGAATGAAAGTTTTGGCTGATCTCTTTTTCTCTGATGATCTCGTCTTGTGTTCCTGGAAATAAATTATAATTAGTGGAGTTTTCATATTTTAATTTGCAAATTTTGTTGTGCTAATTTTATTAAATTTTTGATTTACTTGGGTACACATGGACGGGCCACGCTTTCAAATATACTGCTTTATTGTGTGCCCTTTATTTTACCAGATAAGATAATTTAGTTCTAATCTCAGCTTATGTAGCACTCTCTCTTATCTTTTTATTTAAAAGTCAGGTATGCAAGATTCAAAATTTTTTATGGCCGGCTGGCAAAACTGGAGAATTGAGATGCAATTATAAAAATTGATTGCATTAAGAAGAAGTTAAATTTTAAATTATTCAAATTTATAAATCTTAAAATTCCACCGGCAAACAGAATTATTTAAAAACCCGTATTTCAAAGAGTAGAAAAAAAAGAATTATGCGGTAAAGCAATTATTTATACTGTGTTACACTCTCTGCGCACTATTCCCAGTTTCTTTGTCGCAAAAGGAAGCGCTTTTATTTATCTTGATTTTTGTCCTCTCAAACGCCTGTTTGCTCTTAGCTCATCCTTCATCCTGCCTCTTTATCTTACAACTCAGCTTTTTCCAAAACAGAAACAACAAATAATCGAACCTATAATGCTGTGATACATGATAGTTGCGTATATATACCATTTTTTTCTTTAGCTAAACCGCACGTCCAATATGGTTTGGAAATATTTTTGCGGTATTTTACAGGTGGCAGAACAAAATTGACTACTAAAAATACAATTCGGTGCACAAAAATAGACTTTCTTTATTGACCGTAGAGAGTTCGTTGCTACTAGCACGTCACGCACCTTGTGTTGTTAAAAAAGGTGATAATTGTTGGAAGTGCGTGGAACTGGAATGCAATGTAAAGGCCCATGCCAATCATTATTATTATTATGCAAATTAAAGTTAAGAAAAATAAGTTTATAATAATTCGTGAACCAATTTGAGATTAATCATTTTAATTCATGGATGAAAAATAAAATAATAAATTTCAATTCATTTATTCTCTCGCAACAAGTCATACAGAAAATAAAATTCACAATTATCATTTATAAATATTTTGTTATTATTTTTTTTTTTAATTTAGCCTTTCCATAATTGTTATAAAGGCAACGGTCTCAAAATTAATCAGCGCGCAGCCAAGGTTAGCTCAATTTTATACTACATTACTGAAAAATGAGGTGTGGTAAAATTTGAATTGGCAGTCCCTCTCCCAGCAACCTGAGGCAAGGTCGCTGGTACTCAAGATGGTTTGCGGTGCGCTCGAGTGTGCTTTTTTCGCAGTCACCGCTTGGCTTCCTTGTAAACGCGTGGTCCCAAATAATGGGCTCTGCTTGGGAGAGACTTTGGCCCGCCACGGCCCAACTTTTCCAACACTCTCTTGGCCTATTCATTCATTACTATCTTTTAAAAATCGCCATTAGCTGGTGAAGAAATCTTTACAAAAATTTGATCGTCCTTTTTACTTAAGATTTTGATTTAATAGGCTGTTTTTCACTGTAACGAACGTGGCCTTAGACAATCTCTTTCTGCACTGGTGGCAGAGAGTCTGCCTATCCTATGGTGATCAACCGCTGCTCCTCTTTACTGCCGGTAAGTTCAGTTAATTATTTTATTATAAGTTGTAACAGTGAGGTTAGCTCAATCAAAAAATGTTGAACGGTATGCAAATAGTACCAATATATAATGAGATAAAATTTCATTTAATAAGTAATTTTTTAAAATAGAACATTTTTTGCAAAAAAAAAAATAATAATAATAATACTGGGAATGAAGAGATCGGGCTCTTCCTTGTAGCAAATAATTGCTTTTTTTTAAACCGAAACAGCTCTACAAGTTTTGGTCACAGTCTGCGGCCCTATTTCATGAGCAAGAATAATACAAAAAATTAGCAAAAACAGGTTGTTACTTGAATTTGCTATAGCTTAAAGATTTGAATTTTTATGTGAAAATGAGGTGTTTTTTCAAATTTTGCTGATTTTTTGTATATTTACCTTGCTCGACCGTGACCAACACTGGTAGAGCCGTTTGGTTTTGATTAAAAACATTTTTTGCCCGATCTCTTCATTCCCATCATCATCTCCTCGAGTGTCAATTTCTTCAAACAAATAATTTTACTATTTTCAAATAAATAATTTTTTTATTTTATTTACATTCAGTTCTCACGCAACACGTCACACAGAAATGGGAAAGTCATATTGGGAGAGAATTATTTGATTTGTAATCATTTATAATTTCTTTTCTTTTCAATTTATAATCATATTCCTACAATTTTTACCAATTTAATTATGATTAAAATTGTTTTTTTTTCTCTTTAAATTAGATTTGTAATCCATTTCAAATTCTATAGAAACTAAAATATCTTTTTTTTTAAGTGTCAGCAATAGCTTCCATTGGATCGTATTGGTTGCTTGGCGGTATTTACATGCTGCTGGACCACACGGGATGGCTTTCCCGATTCAAGGTCCAGCCTGGCACAAATGCGCCTCCAGACCCAAAGAAGCTCCGCAATGTGGTTCTCACGGTGCTCTACAACCAGTTCGTCCTGGCCCTTCCTTACACTGTCTTTGGGTATTACGCCATGCAGATTTTCGGTGGACCCATGTCCATGCAAAGGCTGCTGCGCGTCCCTTCCTTTGAAAGATTGGCCCTCGAACTCGTCTTCCATGACTTCATTTACGAAATCTCATTTTATTCCAGTCACAGGTATATTTTAAGTTTGATTAGTTTAATGAGTGCAACCCCCTTTTTTACTTTACGCAAGGAAATATTTGTCAATACTATATTTTTTGTTTTGTTATTACTTTAAAAAAACTTATCCACCTTGGTTTTTGTTTTTTGCCATTAAAAGATGTAGGTACGCCTTCTAGAATATTTTTTGCAGTGATAAATTTCTGAAAATCATTTCGGCTTCCATATCAGCGGCACGTTTCGTGCGGCCTTCACGACGCAAGCGTTGAGCGGAAAATAATGAGCATGACCGCAGTTTTAATGCATTAGTGAATTCCAAAGCAATTACTTTAGCCATTTCGCATTTCCTTCACATAAAAAAATAATATAAGACCAGCCTCCGTGACATAATGTTTTTTTACCAGAAAAAAGCTCATAATTAAAAAATTAATTGCAGGCTTCTTCACACCAAGTGGTTTTACAAACGATTTCACAAGCAACACCATGAGTGGACGTCTCCTGTGGCCATTGCCGCTGCTTATGCGCACCCTTTTGAGTTCATCGTGGCCAACGCAACACCCGTCACCCTTGGCCCTGTCCTGCTTGGCTCACACCCGTTTTCTCTTTGGCTCTGGATTATATATCTGACCCACCAGACCCTGTTAGCCCACTCCGATTATTTGTTGCCTGGTTTCCACAAAACCGACTTTCACGATTTCCATCACTTGAAGTTCACTCAAAATTATGGCTCAATAGGATTCTTAGATAGACTTTTAAACACCGATGATGTTTTCCAAAAGCAAAAATACCAGGCCAAGAAAATGGCATCAAAATAAAAAGATGCTTTTTATAAATCCTTTGTGAATATTACAAATATTACATTTCTGATAAATTTAATTTAAACTCTTTTGCACCTCTAATCAAGCCATTATCATTAATATTATTGCAGTATTACCAAAGATTTTTATTATTACATTGAAAGGTCAGCCATTGCTGTAAAAGTCAAAAGATAAACCTTCTCTTATCAGCAAATGCTTGGCTGACAGCTTGGTGATTTGACTTTCTTGTTTTTTTTTTCAAATGCAATAATCATGTCCAAAGACAAAAAAGAGCTCACAGGAATTCCAAGTGTGGTAGGCGCCCTGATTTTCACTGCCGTTGGACTTGGCTCCGTTGTTATTCACCTTCTGGCGCTCCGATTCATCGTTGTATGGTAATTATCGAACAAATTTTTTTTGATGGTTGCATTCAATGTTATATTTCTAGGGTACTGAGCTTTGTAGGTGTCGAAAGCGATTTCTGGCAAAACCAATGGCAACAGATTTGTGACAAATATGGCAAGGACGACCAGACAACATTTTTTATTGTTGGTGGGCTCCGATCTTGATTTAAAAAATTTTAAAACTAGATAAAAACTTTTTATCTTCCAGGTACTTTGGTGGTTCAGACCCTGGCGTACTGGGTGTGGGGAAGTTTCTACATAATACTGGACCTGACTGGCTGGGCCTCGAGATACAAAGTACAGCCCGGCACAAACCAGCCTCCTGAAATGGGCAAGTTTATCAAGTCAGTGGCGCAAGTTCTGTTCAACCAGTTTGTGATTGGAGCTCTTCTGGCCTGGATTTCGTACGAGGTGTTTGTCTCGACAGGCGCTGCTTTGAGCCACGAAATGCTCCGAACGATGCCGTCTTACTCGAGGGTCATCGCCGAAGTGCCTTTTCACATTATGGGCCAAGAAATCGGATTTTACTACAGCCACAGGTAATTTCCTCTACTTTTCAAATCAGAATTTGTTTTAAAAGTGATATATTTTTGGCAGACTGTTTCATTACAAGTGGCTTTACAAGCACATCCACAAGAAGCACCATGAGTGGACGGCGCCGATTGCCATCATGGCCGTTTACTGCCACCCCTTGGAACACATTTTCTCCAACTTGGTGCCCGTCGCCCTTGGCTCAATGCTCCTCAGGTCCCACCCTGTCAGCGTCTGGTTCTGGTTTTCTTACGCCATTTTCCAAACCCTGAATGGTCACTCTGGGTACCACTGGCCGTGGTTCCAGTCACAAGAATTTCACGATTACCACCACCTCAAGTTTAATCAGAATTTTGGGTCCATTGGTCTTTTGGACTATCTTCATGGCACGGACACTCAGTGGAGAGAGAGCGTTCAGTTCAAAAGAAACATTTTCCTAGTGGGCTTGAAGTCTGCCAGGGAAGTGGTCCCCGATGAAGTAGCCAAGGCAAAATGATTAATGAGATTGTATTGAAATGCAGATTTTATTTACAATAATAATAATAATGAGTAAAACTTCACTTACCTGTGGTCTAATTAAAAAATTTGAAATTCAAGTTAAATATTATTTGTTTAGGATATAAACCATGGCCAAAAAACATATTTTATTGCTGCATTACAATTGCATCATTGCCAGAAGATACATTATATAATTATTCTTTTGGAGTTTATTTAAAAAGCATTTAGATTAATTTAGCTTTAAATTTGTATATTAAATATGTAGAAACTGTGACTTATTCACATAATTAAAAAGTTTTAATGTAATTATTTAAAAATTATATAATTTTTATTATTTTACTTAAAAAAAATTTTATGAATTTTATTAAATTGTTTTAATTTATGTTATGTTATTTATGTTACTTTAATTTTTTTCAATTATTTTTATATATTCTTAGAAGTAATTAATTTTTCTTTTAATTTTATGGCAAGTAAATAATATTTTGCTAACCATAACCAAATAGAATTATAATAAATCTAAATTTTGTCCCATTAAATTAAACATGGTTATGCGTGTTATGTGCAACATATGGGCCGCCTGGGTATTTCCCACGATTAAAAGGTCATTGTCAAGGATAAAAAGCTTCCTCAGATTCCCTCTCCTTTATACACATGTGCTAAAGTTGTAACGTCTTACAAGGCTACAAGCGAATAAAGCTTTATCAAAACCCCCGCCTAAGCGATCAGGGTTTTTCTCATTTTACTCATGCAAAATGGACCGTTTCTGGCAAAGATTTTGGGAGGCCTCATGTGTCTTATTCAAGCGTTCAAGTCTCCTTTTTCTGCACTACTACTGCCTGAAAATGCTCTTTTGCCGGTAAACAATTATTTTCATTATTTAGTTGTTAATAATTAAATTGCTATTGCTGTCCATAGAATATTTGCGTTTGCAACAGGATCAAGTTTTGAGGAGATGGCATTGCAATGGTGGAGAGAGAAGTGCGCCAATCTTTATAATGACTGGCAACTGAATTACACTGCAGGTATACAATTAATACTGTATAGTTCCAAAATATATTTTTAGTTAAAGAAATTATACCGATTTAATAATATGCAACAAAAATAAGTTAAACGAGCTGCAATTTCGTTTCCAGGTACATTCTTTGTGGTCACAGGCAGCTATTGGGTGCTTGGAGGTTTTTTCATGATTCTGGACCAAACTGGCTGGCTTTCAAGATACAAAATTCGACCTGGCATCAATCAACCCCCTGACGCAAGAGAACTGGGCAAGGTGGTTTGCACGGTTCTTTTCAACCAAATCATCATTGTTTTGCCTTATACAACGATGAGCTACTACGCCATGCAAATACGCGCAGGACCTATGTCACAGGAACGACTTTGTGAGGTGCCCTCTTTTGAGAGGATGGCGCTTGAACTGGTGTTCAATGACATTATATTTGACATTACCTTGTACTCTTCTCACGTGTAAGTGCATATATTTCTACTTTATTAAGAAACGTCTGCCAAAAAATCATAGTTAAATTCAAAGAAATATTTTTTAATTTTAATTTATGGTGTGAACATTAAAATTTTTATTATTTAATAAAATATTCCTCCCTAAATTTGCAGATTGCTGCACACCAAGTGGCTTTACATTACAGATTCATCCACAAGCAACATCACGAATGGAAATCTCCAGTGGCCATCACGGCGGGCTACGCTCATCCCTTTGAATTTCTCTTTCCGACGCTATCCCTTTCAGCATGGGTCCCTTCCTTGTGAGTGCTCATCCCGTCTCACACTGGTTTTGGCTTTATCACGTCACTTGGTATGCTCTTTACGCACACTCAAACTATCGTTTGCCTGGTTTTGACGAGTTTTCTGATTTTCATGAATTTCACCATATCACATTTAACCAAAATTACGGAAACTTTGGTTTCATGGACAGATTTTTTGGCACGGACAGTCAATATAATAAATTGAAAATATTTAGAAAATAAAATAGAAACCTTTATTTTTTCAAAAAAGCACATTTGTATTTTTATATAAATTAATTCAAATTCTGGAATATTTAAAAGTGAGCAAATTTTGTTTAAAAAAGAATATGTACATTTTGCAAACTTGATTTTGAAAATTTAAACTTGTGTATCAGCAATTTTTGAATCTTCCATCTCCTGGACAAGAGCTCTTTCTTTTGCCTGCTGCTCAAGCCTATAAAATTTAAATAAATAATCAAATTTAAATAATATTAATGCAAACGCGGGTCTTAAAAACTTTAAGCACTTACTCAAGAGCCACAATGTGTTTTCTCTTTTCCTCCAAAGCATCATAGTCCACTTCAAAGTCGGTGAAGAAAGTGTCCGGTCGGCAAACGTGGTAGATCCTAATTCCAAAGCCCACCGTAGCAGTCCAAAGCCCGACAAACAGACAGACCCAGAAACAAGGTCCGAAGTGCAGAGGCACTTCAATTCCGTAGACAGTGAGGTGGCCTGCAGGACCTGCTTTGGCTGGGAGGAGGCCCCAGTAAATCACAGGGGCGAGGGTCAGACCCAGCCCCGTCACGCCAAGGCTGAATGCTCCGATGGTCGGAAGAGCCATCAGCAATACCAGAGTGAACTAAAATTATATTTAAAAAAAAAAATTATAGTAAAAATTAAATAGAAATTTTTAAATCGGGACCTTAAAATAATGTTATTAGATACAATTAAAACTATTTATAAACATCCAAATTAAATTTAATGCAGATTTTACTGCTGATATTTATTTTTATGACCAAATCGTGTAATGTATAATTTCTGCTTAAAATTAACAAACCAGCCAGCCGACGATAACTCCAGCAAGCAGCCAGGAGCTGAAGTAACCGGCCCTGCGGAGATGGAATGGCCAAGCAAAGGCCGGTTGCCCAAACATAATTCCGCAGCCGGCCAGTTGCTCTTCCAGCTCAAGAATCTCGTGCGGAAGGCCCGCGGCAAGGCCGTCGTGGAACTGCTTTGACATTCCATCTAACGAGTCAAACTCAAGCCTTTGGTCCCAATAGAGTTCTATGCCGTCGGACAGCATTTCGTGGGCGACACTGAAATTTGTTCCGCTCAAACCCACTCGCACGCCAAGCAAAAGCTAGAAACAATATTTTTTTTAATTCAACTAAAAATATGAAAAGAATTTAATTAAATGAAAAATAAATTAAAAAAGATTGTTTAATATTAAAAATATATTAATTATTAAATATTGAATCTGATATAATTAATTATTTTTAATATAAAACACTAACCTGTCTATTTTGTGAGCGGTCGATACTTTTGAACTCCATGGTGGCCTGCTGCCAATTGGGCATGACCAGACCGTAGGCGGCCACGGTTCCGCAGGCGATGGCCGTGAGACCGACTAGCAGGGTGGGACCCTTTCTGTGCAACGCGGGTAGCAAAAAGACGAGCAGGCCCGCGCCGCCCAACGAGGCGATCACCAGGCCCAGGAAACTAAAGTGCAGGTAGAGAAACTCCGGCAATTGGTGCACCTCCCCGTAATTTGAATAACCACCCCCGAGAGGCGCCAAGCGGAACACGTGATGGAACATTTTTCAGAGCAAAATTAATTATTGACTTCTGTGTGCGGCGTCCACTCTAGCAATGAGACGAAGTTGGAGTTTACGGGGTTGCGCGATATTTAAGGGAGGCGCAAGAATTGCATAGTTTTCTAGTGAAAGCCAATTATGCACGTTTACTTGTATTTTTATTATATTTTATTTCATTTCACAGCTTTAAATTGTTCAAATAATCATTTGTTTGATATTTTTAATAAAATTTGTGCTTCTACAGATTAATATTTTCATATTTTAACGGCAAAAGTTTGCACCTCTCTTTTCAATAAAATAATTTCTGGAAGCCAAATGGACTGTCAAGAATTCAAAAAATCAAAGGAGCTCTGAATGAACAGCATTTCGCAGATGCGATTCTTGGCATTTTTTCTCTCTTTCTTCTGACGATGCTCTAGAGAATGAACTCGCCTGTTGCTCGAATAACCATCTCGTGAATCTAATTTGATTGACAAGTAATAGATGCATGAATTAAAATATTATAGATTTATTACCTGGACATGCCCCGGTGCTCCCAGAGCAAAAGTCAGGGCGTCTGCAATATCCTTGGCCTCCAGGCACGGATTTTCGGAATATTTTTTGTCCGCCACTTCTTTCGACAAACCCCCAGCAACGCTGATTTCAGTTTTTACCAGCCCAGGGCTAATGCTCTGTAAATTGCATTTTAATTTACCAGACAAACGTATTTTAATGGTGCAATTGTACCGTGACCCTGATTTGAGTCTGCATATCCCTGAGCTCTCTGCGGAGACCCTCGGTCACCACCGTCACCGCGTGTTTGCTCGCCGTGTAAATGTAGCCCAACGGGTACTCGGAAATGTAGTGGCCGCAAATGCTGAAAATACCCAATAATGTAAGAGTTCAAATAGAAATTTCAATATTCAATATTTATCTTTCACACCTGTTGATATTGAAAATGTGTCCGTCGTTCACTCCTCTCGACTTCATGTCCTGGACGACCGCCTTGGTGAAAACCGTCAGAGCGATCACATTTGTATCCAAAATTAATTTCACGTCGTCGGTCGCTTGCTCTGTACAAGAAAATGAAAATAAATCGAAGCAAATAATTTTTTCATTTATTTATTACCGCTTAATTTTCCATATCGATTAACACCAGCGTTGTTGACAAGAACATCGGCGCCTCCAAGCGTTTTCCTGGTCCATTGAACCACCCTCTTTATATCCTCCTCTTTAGTAACGTCTCCGCAAACGGGGTGCAATTCACCCTTTGCTCCCTGCGATTTCAATTCTTCAGCCAACTCCTAAAATTTGATAGAGTATAATTTTTAATTTATTTAATATTAAAATATAATAATTATTTTTTTTCATAAAAGAAGTAACAATTAAAAATATTAAGATATTAAGAATAGCTCCAATGGGCTTCAATTGCAAATAGAGTTACAATTTTTCTATGTAAAAATCTTAATTTATAATAATTTTTTCCTCCACTATTGATCAAACTTTTTACATTTTAAATAATATAATTTATATTTTTGAATTAACTTTAAATTATTGACAATTTATACATTATTTTTGTTATAAATCGTTAAATATGTTAAACTTTTACCTCAACTTTTTCAACTCGACGTGCGACTCCAACGACTTTCAAGCCGCTCTCCACCAAACTTTTGGACACTGCTGCCCCAATACCGGAGCTTGCACCGCTTACAATAGCTACTCGGCCAACCCAGCGTTCCATGGTTTTAATTTGAGAAAAATCTTCTTTGATTTTTGTTAATATACAGGAAGAGTGCAGGTGCGTAAGCACTTTTCTCTCCAACTGCGTCCTCTTATCAGTGACTCTAGCGCGTTCAACTGATAATCAACTCACACGCGCACCATAAATTTGATTTCTGCGGGCGTGATATAATTTGTGTTCCCCCTTTTTACAAGTACGCTTACTTCTTTTCTTCAATAATACTAAAATATTCAAAGAGCATAATATTATTCACACAAAATGAAACTAACTTTAAGTTTTTAAACAAAAGAGCGTAAGTTTTTAACAATATGATTTATTTTATTGTATGCCTGTGAAACGACTGGAACTTTGCATTCGTTGCAGGTGCATTAGGTGCAACACCAGAGTAATCACAACCTTAATTATGTGAAATTGCAAATTTCTACCAATTAAAATAAATTCAAAAATCCCTCTTTGACCTATTTTTACTAGATAATTATAAAATTTAGTGATATTCATTGGTCATATCGGTGCAGATGTCCAAAAAAACACCCACAATATATCATAAAGTAAAAGTTAAAAGATTTTTCAAATTTAAACAGACGTGCTATAATTTAGAATACTCTCTTAAAATTTAAAATCTCGCATTTACAAAACCGGTACATAATCTGGTAAATTCTTTAAAATATTTTTGCGCCTCTTTCTCTTTCTGGCTGCGGCTTGCGGGCCTCTCAAAAATATAGGTCACTTCTTGTATATTGTTGCGGCCAAGAGAAGACTCGAGAAAACTGACCATCAAGGAGAAAAATATCGATGCAACGATGCATCCCAAACCAGAGAAAGAGTTAAGTGAGATTTCGGTGGGACCACGCGAGTTTTATCGATGCGAACGGGTCAATGTACGAGATGGGGAACGCGCAGCAACACACCTAAATTTCTCCGAAACCAGTTTTACAGCGGCAAAGCAGCTGAGCAAAAGCAATGGGCGCTTCAAGTGAGGGAATAATTCGTAAGAAAATTTACAAGAATTTTAAATTTGGTGTAATTGTCATCATTTCTTTAAATTACAGACAAAATTGGTCAAATTGTGGTTCTGGTGGCCACTGTGTACTTGCAGCTCTTTGTGTTCACCCTTCCGCTGCTTGGAATCTTCTCACTAGCAAAGTAGGTTGCACCATAAATATTTGATATTCAAAGTAATTCAAAAAAAGAAGGATTTTTATAAATTTTATTAATATACACTTGTCTTGTCAAAAAGAAAAAAAAACTTTTTTAAAAGAAATAATTAACTAAAATGAATGAGATGAATCTAAAAAAATATATATATATATATTTAATATATATTAATTTTTTATTATCAAAAATTTAACGTTTATTTCTTTTTATGGCATAATTTAGACAATTGGCACCAGCTCCCGATTACTGGCAACTGCGATGGGACAGCATGGTGTCGTGGGTAGACAGCAACCAACGCATCGTCTTCGGAGTTTTACCGTCGTTAATCTCAGGCGTGGCCTACTGGAGTCTCGGCTCCTTCTTCCTCATGCTGGACTTCACAGGGTGGCTCTCCGAGTACAAAGTGCAGCTCGGCACCAACCAACCCCCGTCGCCAGCAAAACTCGGCAAGGCGATTCGCACCGTTTTGTTCAATCAAATTTTCGTGGGACTTTTCACGGGACTGGCCGCATACGAGTTTGTCCGACTCGCGGTCGGCGTCCCGATAACACTTGATCAACTCAGGGAACTGCCCTCCATCCCTGACATCCTTAGGAAGCTGGCCGCATTCATAATGATCAGGGAAATTATTTTCTATTACAACCACAGGTATATAATTATTGCGTAAAAATTATTTTCCTACTAAAATAGAAATTCATGCAGAATTTTCCACCACCGATGGTTCTACAAACGCTTCCACAAGCAGCACCACGAGTGGACCGCTCCGATTGCGGTGATGACCCTCGACTGCCACCCCTTGGAGCACCTCCTGTGCAATTTGCTTCCCACCGTGGTCGGACCCTCCCTGTACCGGTCGCACCCCTTAATCAATTACGTTTGGTTCTTCCTAATCACACTGCGGCCAGTTTTCACCCACTCTGGATACCACTTGCCTTTCGCGCCCTCGTCCGAATCGCACGATTTTCATCACATGGTGTTAGTATTATTTAAATTCGATCGGAGCGTGTTTGATGCAAATTCGTAATTTGCTTTCAGTTTCAACCAGAATTACGGAAACATCGGAATAATGGACGCAATTCACGGGACGGACGCACAGTGGAGAAAGACAGCTTCATTCCAAATGAATTTCACTTATTTTAATCTCATGCCGGCCCGGCAACTAATCAAAAGCAGTCAGGAGAATAAGCTCAAAGTAAAATTGGCCATTTAATTTCCATATTGTATGTTTGGAACTCATGTTATGTTTATATATTTTAAATGTTGAATGATGGAGCAGCTGATGAACTTTTTCCTAATAAATTATGCTTAAAACAGATATTATCTTATAATTTCTGTTTGAATAAAAAAATTTGGAAAATTGATTTTAATTTTTCTCTTTCTTGTTGATAAAATTAATTATAAATTTCACGTCATTAAAGTGGAATTGGGGAGCGCCGACTACTATACCTGACACACAATTAGTACTTCCGAGAAAAGATAATTTTTATTTATTTTTAGTGATGCTAACATAAAAAATAGAGCAAACTTATTAATAGCAAATTGCTTCTCAACACCTAGTGTGCGTGGTCAGAAAAACTTTAGTGTCCAATTAACAGATGCTTTAATTGACCTCATTCAAACGCGGCGTCAAAACTTTATCAATTCTCTCGGAATTTCCCTAATTACGCCTTGCTATTGCGGTATTTCATGAAGAAGGAAACCGGAATTTCCAACAAATAGCTGTTATTGTATGGAAAAATATATGATGCGCGCATCAATTCAATTCTCTTCGAATGATTCGTGAGCAAAGTTTGTGAGTATTCAGAAAATTGAAGAGTGAACTTCGTTTGATGAACTTAATATAAAAAGCAATTTTAACAGAACCATTTGTAAGCATAATCTTATTTAGTATGGAAAATGAAATTTATTTATTTTTATGAATTTTTTTTATGTTAAGAAATTTTGGTGATATTAGTGCTAGTTTCTAACTAATTATTAAACAAATCAGCAGACATGCAAACCATGGCATGAAATATTTTATTATAATTATTATTTAAAGGAATTTATTTTTTTAAGGGAAATACTTTATGAGAGAAAACCATTATCATGCTGAAGCTGAGTGTGGGGGACAAGAATTTTAAATTTCTTGTAAAAACGGAGTGTGTCTGACCGATTTAGGAGGGGTCCCATGTCCATCACCTTTTTATACACAGTACTTGGCATATAGAGATGCAGCTTGAAGGTTGCATCAGTAGCTTCTGGGCTGGGAATAGTTTCAAAATGCGTCCTAAATTTGGTAAAAATTTCAATTTTTGACTCGAGCTCATATATTAGAGCAAAAATGATATAATTTCAGATATGCTTGTCCGAATTACAATTATGACGGTCAAAGTGTACGTGCAGTTTTTCATTTTTACGCTACCAATGCTGGCAAGCATCTTTTTAATAAGGTAAAAGCTGAAAGTTTTTAACGTTTTTCTCCAAAATTGGGCTTTAATTTGTAGGGCCTCCGCGCCTTCCGACGATGACTGGCAACTGCGATGGGAAGCGTTTTTGTCGCTGGCGAATAACAACCTGACCATAGTTTTTGGGGTGATACCCTCCGTGGTCTCAATCACCGGCTACTGGATCGTCGGTGCCCTTTTCCACCTTCTTGACGTTACAGGGTGGCTCTGCGAGTACAAAGTGCAGCCGGAAACCAACCACCCGCCACCCAGCCTCAAGTTGAAAAAAGCGTTGCGATCGGTTTTGTTCAATCAATTGGTCATCGGACTTCTGACCGGAATTTGCTCCTTTGAATTTTTGCGTTTGACAAACAATATGGTCCTGTCATCAGACGACATTAGGGTGCTTCCCACAATTGGAATTTTGCTCAAAAGACTGGCCGCGTTTGCGTTCTGCAGAGAAATTGCTAATTACTACTGCCACAGGTACGCTTTCCGCTTTAATTTGAAACATCTCGAATTAAATTAGTTTTTTTGTTATAATGAGATAAATCAAGTAATTCTCAAAAGAAAAAATATATTCATATAAAATCAAATTTAATAATGATTTGAGAGAACTTATGCCTTTGTCTGTTTACACGGAAGCCAGTAAAATAATTTTTATATTCTATTATAACAAACTACTGAAAATATGCATTTTTTTGTATTGCTTAGTAGGAAAAATAATGAAAAAATATTAAAAAATTATACATTAATTTAATGTGTGTATTAAAAATTGTTTCAAAGTTGAGACTTGTAACACATTAGCTCTGAATTATATTTTTTACGATTTATTCAGAAGATTGACTACTTATCGTTAGAACTTCCATATTGACTAATTGACGAATAAATTGAAGATCCTTTTTTCTAGTTTTACTCAATTATTTTCCCCTCTCTTTGTTTTTATATTAAATTTAACCTGTTTGATTTGGCTGTTGATGAAAAGAGAAGTGTCACATCAATTTTAATCTAATTTCAAAATTAAATTTTATAAATTATTCCGATCAAGTCCATATATCTCAATATGTCGAAAAATTGCTTGCATTCTGGTGATTCATACTAATTGACTATGCGTTTTGGAATTTAATTATTTAACACTATATATGAAAAACTGGTTTTTTTCGTTACCATATTGAGTATTATACTGTGCAAGCCTGCAATAAAAATCTCGTAATATTTATGACTAGCTTCAAGGCACAGCCTTATAATCTGCCGCGTGCAATTTTTATCACCATATTATATTCATTAATAAGAAAACAATAATTATGGTATATATTACGTGGTGACATATATTTCAGTTTATTCTCAAAATTTTCTCCCAAAAATTTAAGTTAAAAAGTATGTCTGAAAATTTTACTAATTAAACTTCTTTTAAAATAGGAGAAAAGAAAGAAATAATAATAATAACAAAAATATGTTGCATTAGCAGAATATAATTATGTAATAGTAAAAATACATCGCAATCACATCTTTATCTCAGAAAAATTAATAATCTTTTTGTTGAGTTCTTATTGTTTAGAGTGAGAGTGTATAAAAAATTATCATTCAAAGGGCAAGGTCACATTCCACGGTTATTTTAAACTAAAGTTTAAACAAGTGGTGTAAAATTTCAAATTTATTTATTAATTGAAAACAGTTTCTAGTGAAATTTATATTTTATTTTAACTTTTTAAATTAAAACTGGATCAATTAATATAATATATCCGTTTAATTAAATTTTACTTCATTTCTTTGTATAGATTGCTACACCACAGACTGTTTTACAAACGTTTTCACAAGCAGCACCATGAGTGGACGGCACCGGTGGCCCTGATGACCGTGTGTTGTCACCCCTTTGAACACTTTTTCAACAACATTCTTCCCACGCTGGTCGGGCCTGGCCTATTCCAGTCGCACCCTCTCATCAACGCGGCGTGGTTTCTCTTGGTCACCCTTAGGCCCGTCTTTACGCACTCAGGGTATCACTTACCCTTCATGCCCTCCCCAGAATTCCACGACTTTCATCACATGGTGTAGGAGAAAGCAAATGAATTTATTAAAATTAATACATAATAATTAATTTTGCTCTACCATTTTCAGGATTAATCAGAACTTTGGAAACGTCGGAGTTTTGGACGCGATCCATGGCACCGACACTAAATGGAGAAACAGTCCGTCTTTCGAAAGACACTTTACTTTTTTCAACTTGATGCCCGCACGAAAAATTTTAAAACTCTCAAAAGAGGGCAAACTTTCTACAAAATTGACGATTTAGATATTTATATAGATGTAGAAAATAATTTTTGCTGCAAAAATATTATGTTATTGCAGACTGAATGTTTCTACTTAATCAAAACATGTATGCTACAAATATTATTTTAAATTAATTACTGCTTTAAAAAGTGATACATTATGCTGTGTTCATTAAAGAAATTTGCATTTTATTTACCTAAAACTTGTACATTTTATACGTTCAAATAATAAATAAAAACAAAAAATATGAAAAAAAAAAATTTATAAAAGCTCTTACTTATTCGTGGAATAAATTACCTTATGCTAACCGAAGGCGAGGTGATAATCTCGATTTTGTTTGCCTGGTCGGTGGGTCACCGCGGTCACTCTCTCCAGAAAGAAGGTATATAGAAAAATTGGCACAAGTCTTTTCTATGCGCGCGCGTCTGGTCCGAGTTGAATTTTCGAGACTCACTTTCCTTCTTGCTTGCTTAGGTCTCATCTCCCTGTTGATCATTCACGATTGTTTGCAGGTAGTTTCTCCATTGGAACCGTCCAGCAAAGTAGCTGCGACATGGGCGCAAATATTGCAAACTCGTTTTTGCTACGACTTCGTCAAAATTTGAGAAGAAAATTTGGTGCTTTTACTTTGCTTGTTACCGTCTACCTTCAATTATTCCTCTTCACCTTGCCGTTAGTTGGGGTCATTGTTTCAGCAAGGTAGGTGTAACATATTTTGCTGTTTTTACGTTTTAATATTTAAAATTTTTCAATATTTCTATAATGCGTTCACTCTTAAAGCTTAATTTTTCAAAACCTAAATATTTTTTATTTAACGTTTTATAATAGTTGAATTTAAATTCAAATTTGAGTTTTTTAATAATTCTTTAATTTTAATAAATTAAAATATTTAAATTGTAGAGTATTTGCGCCAACGCCAGACTTTTGGCAGCAAAAATGGACCCATATTTTGACGTGGATGGGCCACAACCAGCGCTTTGTTTTTGGGTTAATGCCCTCAATTATTTCCACGGTCGTCTTTTGGATTGTGGGCACCTCATTCCTGCTGCTCGACTTTACTGGCTGGCTTTCCAAATACAAAGTTCAGCCGGGCACCAACGAGCCCCCGAAAGCCCCTCGCCTCACCAAGGCGGCCATCTGGGTGCTGATCAACCAATTTTGCGTCGGAGCCCCGCTCGGCGTGCTGGGCTACGAAGTTTTGCGGTTAACGTCAACGCAGGAGCAAATCAGTCTGGACAAATTTGAGGAGCTGCCCTCGATTTCCACTCTTCTTTTTGAGTTGGCCGCTTTCATGACTATTAGAGAAGTGATCTTCTATTACGGGCACAGGTGAGTTATAAAAATAGATTAATTTTTATTGACTCAAATTATTAGAAATTATAAAAAGCAAAGCCAGGAAGCAACAAACGAATTTCCTCTTTTTGTGTTGTTATTAAAATACTTTCTTGTTTGCGGTTCTTTGGAGATCAGCTTTTTAATTTTTTCTTTCACATCCTAACCTGTTAGAACCGTTGAAACATTTTACGCTTTTTTGTGCCACTTTTACTCTTCTACTGTAACTATACATCGATTTCTTTTTTATCTTAGAACTATTATTTCAGTCACTCTTTCTTCATTTTTAATTGGGTAAAATGCGAAAGAATTTATGAAGATAAAATGATACTTTTTAATTAAATAAAAGGGACCGGTGATTCTAACTTAAGAGTCCCCATCGGACGCCCATGTACAGTAGGCAGCGCCTTGTCACGTGTGCATTGTGGGTTGCCTAAATCAGTGGCTATGGTGGGCCCTTTGACCCCGTGGGCCCCTTGGCATGTCCGACCTGTCCAATAGGAAGTAACGTCCAATCTAACTTCTAACCAAATCGCCGAAGAAAAAGATTAAAATATCCAATTATAAAGCCCAGATTTGCCAATTATCAGTAAAAATCCTTTATCATAGATTTTCCACATTACATGACCTATTTTAAAACACTATTTTTTTTTCTAAAAACACCCAAAAGTAATATAAAAAATCCCCTAGTTGGCCTATTTCGTCAAAAATCACCGATTCATTTCTGCTTAAATAGAAGACCTGCTTTTTCCCAAAGCATTAAATTAAATATGTTTAAAGAAGTTGACTTGACACTGGAGGAGATGATCATGGAAATGAAGAGATCGGGCTTTTCCTCATTGCAGAAAAATTGTTTTTATTTAAAAACAAATGGCTATACCAGTTTCGGTCACGGTCTGTGACCCTATTTCATGAGCAAACGCACTGCTCGCTGACTTTTGTTTTTGAATAAAAAAACAATTTTTCTGCAACGAGGAAAAGCCCGATCTCTTCATTTTCATAAATTAAATTATTTCTGTATGCTTTTGATTACGTTGAATGCTACCCTGAAATTAAATTTTAAGGTTGCTGCACCATCGATTGTTCTACAAACACTTCCACAAACAACACCACGAGTGGACGGCGCCGATCGCCTTTATCACCATTTACTGCCACCCAGTAGAACACATCTTGGCCAATATTTTGCCCACGGCCGTGGGACCGATTTTGCTCAAGTCGCACCCCCTCATTGACTGGACCTGGTTCCTCCTTATCATGGCCTGGCCTATGTTCAACCACTCAGGGTACCACCTTCCCCTGTCACCGTCCCCTGAGTTCCACGACTTTCACCACATGACGTGATTAAAATAATCAAAAATATTTTTCTCTTTAAATAATTTAACTTAATTTTATAGGAGCAATCAAAATTTTGGAAATCTGGGCATCATGGACGCATTCCACGGAACAGACAAACAATGGAAGAAAACCGAGTCATATGAAAGGCACTTTACACTTTTTGGAATTAAGCCTGCGCGAGAAGTAATCAAAAGCATTCAGTAGATTTAAATTTGATTGCTAAAATCAGCTAAAATGTTGATTTAAACTTGAAAGTAAAAATGACTAAAATCAAATTTTTGTTTAACAAAATTATGTTACTATTTTGATAATTTGTTAGTCATAAATTTTTGGTTCAATCTTCCTACATAAATTATATTCTGATGAAATAAATAATAAACTCATTATGTATGTATTTCACCCTACAAAAATAGGCCGAAGTCAATTTTCGTACCCAATTTGTATCATTTGAAGTGTAAATCAAATCAAGTGTTGGTCGAACCGCACTGCATTTTTATACCAAGATTGAAAGAAAACTTTTAAACTAGAATTGATTTTACCGCTAAATGTATTAACAAAACCTACCGACTGAAACGCAAACCGGTATTTTGGTCATTCAATAATCGCACCGGCAGGCGGCAGGCGCGGCAGCTGATGTTAATTTTGTGAAAACCTTCGACGGCGTGTCTTTTTCTGCCGAATTTAAAGAATATTTCCCGCGATGAGCTTTTGTCGGCAAGCCCTGGTGGCGGAAAAACTTGTGAGAAATCTTCTGGTGCAGAGATTCGCGCCCTCGGCGGCGCCAAACGTGATCGTGCGGTGGCGAAAACCGAGGAGCCTCGGCACAGCTCCTTCCAAAATGTTTCGGATCCCGAAAAAACCTGAAATTCCCGAAGACGAGTTGGCGGAAATCCGCAGGCTCTACGCACAATATCGCACTTACATGAAGAGCATTCGGTTTGCTTCAATTTCCAATTTGAAAAATCTGATCGATTAATTTTACAGAGTGTGGTTGGCCGAGGACCTGAAACAACAAGAGACGGCCGCGGCCGCAGCGGTGGCCGGATCGAGCGGCGAGGAGGCCGAATTCGCCCGTTGTCTGCAAATTAACGACGAGTGGAACAAGCAAGTGGCCGCGCAAAGAGAAAAACGTTTGGCCGCAGAGAAGGAGAAGCTGACGGAAAAAATCCTCACCGACCTGGAAAAGGACGAGCTTGAACGAAGCCAGCGCAAGGCTGAAATTCTGCAGATGGTTGCTTTAGAAAAGGTTGAAACTTTAAGCCAGCCTTATGCCTTTCTAGTTTTATAGAAAAATCATCTTCCTCAAATATTTGCATGTTCTCCCTAAATGCAATTTTATCAGTCAAGTTTTTTTAAATTGTTTTTCGAATATTTTATTATTTATATTTAAATCTACATTATCTATTTTATTTGCACAATATATTTTTGACAGGGAGGGGGGACTATGCATAATATTATTATTAATTTTTTGGAAAAAATTTAATGTTAAATTATGATCAGCTTGTTTTTATATTTTATTCTATTTATTTTCATCTTCTTTCCGAGGTCTATGATTTAATACCAACAAATTCATTGATAATTTATTGTATTATGAATTACTACAGATTTATATTTATGCTTTCCACAAATGATCAAATATATTGATTAATTTTTAACTTAAACATTTTTCCAGTATTTTTGGAATTTTTGTTCGTAATTTTAATTTCCATTATTGTAATTGTTTAAATATTTCCATTGAATTATTGGGCTAAGCTGAGACAAGGTCTAACTAGCTTGCGTGCCCTTTATCTTTTTTGGTGACTGCTTTTTAACTTTGTCTCAAATCAGAAATCAATCACATTTTCTTATTTATTGGTATAGGCAATAATGAAAAAAACAAAGCTCGGAAAGTGGTAGGATAAAAGAAAAAAGTTTGAAACTGGTTTGAAAGAATAATTTCTTGTTGATTAGGAGATGGGGGAAGTTTGGGATTCAATATATTTTTAGTATTAAATTAAAAGAATTTAGCTGCAACTTTGTGTGATTGTTAGTATATCGTTTTTTTCTCCTTTTGTTTATTTATCTTTAATTAGACTTTCGATTAACTTCTTTATTTAAATCACGGCGACCCTATGCTTACATTTTACTAGTTCCTTTTTGTTAAATTTATTATTTTGCTAAATCTTGTTTTAATTTTTCAGGAATTGTCTGCAAAATACATCACAGCTGCCAATATTGACAAGGCAATAGAATTGGCCCTGAGCGAAGAAGTCGATCACAACTTTGCCATCGACAGGGAGGGAAATTTTTACCGAGGATTCGATATGAAGCCAACACCAAAGGATGAGGAGACACAGTCATAGTGAGCACCTTGTTAAAAATCAAAGTCTGTGCATTTAAAATGCGTTAATAATATTAAATTTGTTCAACATCATAAACTTATTTCTCTTTACATGTTGGCACCAATTGAAATAATGTTTGATGCTTATCGCAAATAAGGGTACATCGAAATTTAATTGTTTGGGTATGTTTTTTTTTTAATTATTTTGATCTGTAAAAGTAAGTCTAATACGACTGAGAAAAAAGTATAAGCAGAAATGAGGGCAAAGTCCTGATTGATAAGAAAGCAAAAGGCATTTCATTTATGTAATTTTTCAACAAAGGCTATTTTTTTATCTTATTTTTTTCTGAATGGAGAACAATCAATAACGAGGAATGGCAAAAATGCTTGAAAGAAACGCATTTTGTTTCGTCAGACGCTGCGATTATGACCCAAGTTGCACAAACAAGGTGAATTGTCACTCAAGTATAACTTCCTCCATGATTGGGAAGTGCAAAAATTCCAAGCATTTTTCCTCTCACTCGTCGCCAGATTAAGCGTGTTTGCGTCTGGTTTCAACACTGTCCTGGCGTCACTCATTTCTCTCCGAGATAAAGAAATGCATCCTTTGCCTGAGTTGGTGAGAAAATTGGCGCAGACACGCCAACCGGCTTATGCAGCTTACAGACAAGGAGGAAAGCACACGCCCCGGACTAGTGTCTCATTACTTAGCCAATTATCTGATTACGTCGAGTGTGCTTGCTCTTATCTATCGCTCTGGCATTTCTCACTTATTGGCAATCAATTATTTTGCTTCTGTTGAGTACATTATCAAATTTCAACTTCACCTGTAAAGATCACTCCAATTTATAATGCATTGTGAAAAAATACTTTTATTTTGTAGACAAAACAAAATCGATTTTTTAACGAAAATCAATCAACAGACGATGTGTTAAGATTATTCCAGTCCAGGATTCCAACATCAAGTGTATCAAATCGCATTTAACAAGACACCCTTCGGCTATATCTTTTTATTCAATATTATGTGATGCATATTCTAACAGGTGGTTCAAGTGTAACTTGTGAATTAATTCAACGTTAAGAAGAGAAGCGCCGGTTTGCAAATTTTTCCGGGAAGCGGCACCACCTACTTTGAAGAAATGAAAAAAAAATGTATATCTGGGTTGTTGAATCGTTTATGAAGTTTATAATAAATTCACAGTTGGTTGATACGGAAAACAAGAGGTGCGAGTTGGGATGGTAATGAGGGGGTCTCAAATGCGGCGTGTAATTTCGGCCTTTCAATTTGGGCGCCCCTAATGATGGTCATTGTGGCGGCGGCGGCTCCATTAGGCTCCGAGGACCTCTTAAATATGTATAGGCGCCGCCGCATTTCCATAATTGGCCACCACTTGCCATTTCGATTGGGCGCCGCTTAATTGAATTAAAAAACCGCCTTGTATGCACACCCACTCGAAAAAGCACGAAATTCTCACGACTTCTTAAAATTATAGTGTTTTTTTTTCTGTCGCCAGTTTTCTCAGCCGTAGACTGGCGTCAAAGCACTTTTGAATTTCAAAACGCAACCGCACATCTTCTATAAGAGGAGCTTTATTGGCAAGGAACAAATACTATATTTCTTGATAAATTGCTGTTGACGTCTTCTGTTGTCTATAAAATTAAAGACTTTCAAAATCTTTTACTTTGTTAAAAAGTCAAAAGTAATAAATAACAAGGCAATTATTTAATTTCTCTGATTATTGATTTATAGCACAAATAGATGTATAAGTTTCATATTTTATTTTTAAGTTTTGCTAGAGGAGAGTTGTTCTTGAACCAGACTTTTCTCAACAAATTATAAACGCATAAAGTAACATGAACAGTGAGAAAAAAATAAAGAAATATATAGAATAAAATTATAAAATTGCTTTTAACAATTTAAAACCCAAAGAAACCACTCGAAACAAGAAATAATTAAATCAGTACTTGTGACTCATCACTCGTAATTCCACGTCAAGGTGATTAGTCACAAGTACTAATTTAATGCTTTTCAACATGTTTGAAGTGGATAATTTGCGAAACAAAATAAAAGAAAATGAAAAAAGTTTATGTGATGGGGCTTATTTGCACAAAATCGCAGGAAATAACAAACTGTTTAATTTTCCATTAAATTTTGCGACTCTTTGGAGCCTCTGCGGCTGCCTGATGGTGATAACTTTGACCCAGCACCAATTTACGACGGCGTCACGTTCCCTAAGAGAAGCGATTTTGCAAAATCTTTCCTTATTGCTTTCGAAATCAAAATCCAGGCGACGCAATAAAGACAATTATTTATCTATATGGATCGTCACACGTCAAATTAATTTGGGCGCGTGGAGCCGAAGCGCGCTTGTAAAGAGCAAAATTTTATATAGAATTATTGTGTGGGCGCAGATTTATTAAGATTTCAATCAGTTTTAAGGCGTCGTCTCGCCTCAGCGTTTATTAGGAACCATTTTACCGCAGTTTCTATCTCGGGACATGGCCTAATTTTCCCCAAACAAATATTTTCTCGCATTCAGGTGTAAGAATTCCCAAGGCACTTGACGCCTCGGTCGTGCGTCGCCTGCTTAATTTCTCTGCTCTGTGAGACGAAAACTCCGTTTGAATTATTTGACCTCTCCTGTGGTCATGTTCAACAAGTACGTGTGTGTGTGTTCAAGATTTATTTTGACAACGCCTTCGATTTGGAGTAATTTAACTCTCAAAGTTTGCACACTCGCGGCGACCTTCGCGCGGAGGAGGGCAGAACGCGTTTTAAAAAACGGAATATTATAAAATTAAACGACTCGGCGCCTCATTACTGCTCCTTTTAGCATTATCTCCGCTGGGCATCGTGAAATCCGCAAGCAATATCAGACTGACGTGATCAACAATTCAAGAAAGAAAAAAAAACACCGTAATAAACAAAGAGACATTTCAATTCTCATAAGTAATGAGACTGGTCGATTCTTATGAAAAACCCCAACACAATTTAAGTGTGTTTTCATCTAAATTTAGAATTTTATTAGTTCGCGAAATCCCTCACTGATTATGACGTCAAGAGTACAAGACGGCAGACGCATGGCAAGGAGGCGCAATATAGAAAACCAACAATATATAAAGTGGCGGTCGCGTATTATTATGTCAGATGGAGGCGAGATAAGCAATTTGAGCGCGCAAGAGGCCCGAAAATTCCTGAAATTACATTTTTTATGTCTTCATATCTCCAGGTGCGCGCCGGGGCATTATTTATTGTCATCGGCGCCGCGTTCCCATGCAGCATATTTCCCAAATTTACGAGCAATCTCGGTGCCATAAGTGGAAAGAGACCTCCCTGCCTGCTATTCAAAAAGAAAAGGTTGAACCAACCCCCTTCGTGGAATTGAGCAGGACCACCAAATTGGAGCGGCTGATTTATCGCCGAACGATGGAAATGAGGCCGTCGGCCATCGGTCAACCGCTCTGTAATTTGCCCCAAAACTCCGCGAGCCACCACCAAATTAAGATCACAAAATTGCTCTCTCTGCACAGCAACTCGCTCATTGCATTAAAAAAAGACTTCCTCAAACTCGGCACGGGACAGTGCGAGAAAGTTTAAAGGCAGAGCACAGTTTTAATTTAATTATATAATTGTTCGAGTAAAAACTTAAAAACTTCAATACTTGAAATTATTTATAATTATGCAACAATTTGAAATTCTTATAAAACTCAGTTTTTCAACAGAGAAATATTACATAATTGTCTTGATGATTTTAGTGAAATATTCCAAATTTAACTAAAAAAAATGTGAGATTAATTAAATAAGAAATCAAATTAGTATGACCTTTTCATTTAAAATGAGGATAAGTTTTCTTTTTAATTAAGCCAACATTACTCACTGCCCTTATTGTTAAACACATTATGATTGTATATAGGAATGAAGACGTGACTTAGAAAAGTTGCTTCATTATATATGAGCATGGAGAGCAAAAGAAATTTAATATCGAGCGTTTATTTACATTTTATAATTAAGCGAGGGGCGTTTAATTAAAATAACAATGTGATGGTGCACGTAATTTGGGTAATTTCCGATCAACGAACGCGCCGATAAATTTTTTGATCCGCCCGGTCCCTTTGTCCGGAGGCACACCTGCTGCTCCGTTGGACAAAAGAGCAGCACGGTATTAATTTTAATGGAGAGCAGCAGGAAAAATAGCGTCTAATAAGACCGCTAATTTGAACCTCCTTTGAATTAATTCCGTGGATCCATTATTGCTAAGCGACCTCTGATTGAAATTGATAACCTTCACGGCTCAATCATTGTAATGAGCCTCTAATAACAGCCCTGCTGTGCGACCATATCTGTAATGCATATCTTAATCGAAATTATCTTCGTATCTGTTGAAATTTTTCCCGAAAATAAAATTTCAGTCAAAAATAATAATTAAACAAAATAAAATTCTTTTTGAAGAGCAAAACCCTTTGGTTGACTTTGATATCTCGACGTCATTAGTGTGCATGTTTGGAGGCACTTCTTATTCTCAAGCCCTCGGACGGAAGAGTCAAAACGTCTCGTGGCCCCACACACTCTCATAAAAAAAATACGAGTGTATGTATAGGAAAAAGTTGCCGCCGCCGCGAGTAACAAGAAGGCCAAACATGGGCTGGGCCGCCGCACATTAATACCAGATTGTCACCCTTCACGCGGATGCATTATTTTTCTTCGTCGTCTCTTTTCAAGAGTGCTGGAAAAATCTCCTTTTTAATCGACCGCACACACACATACCGCAGCTCCTTTTGTCCAGGAGTAATAAAACCGGGCTCGGGAGTTAATTTCGTCCATTTCACCGGCGGCAGCACTCGATTTTTCAAACCCACGCATTTGCCTCTTGTAAAAAGATAAAAAAAAAAAAATAAAATAAACGACCGGTGGGAATTTTCCCCAATTCTCAACTCTTGCCCTCGTCCAAGAGTGTCGCTGATTTTTTGAATTTTTGTCTTCTTATTTTTCTGTTTGAAAACCAACTGATGAAATATATATTTAATAATCGTGCTTCCACGAACAATAATCCTTTAAGGGGATTAATTTTTATTACGTGCGCTAATTGGCGGTCTGCTGGGAATTAAAACCGCGCCGG